GTCGTGAAGCTCTCAAGCCAAGCAGAAAATAATCCTCTACAAATATTAAGGTGCTAAGTAAAAGAGTGAACCAATCACAACTATACAAAAAGCCATCAGTTTTTAGCAGATTGCCTGTTTTACTTAAGTAATAGTCTCCGTGCTTAAAAAAACCAAAGCTAACTTGCAATTCGTTGCAGTTGGACGAAGGTGACGATTGAGATTTTTGCCACTGAGGTCAGCTGTGAGGGTAAATGGGATATGCTAGTTATCCCTGATACTTTAGACTTGGTAAAAACAAACTTTGTGTGGAAGATCATTTTGATTTAAGATTTTGGTTATGACAGCACAGGAGAAAGTTCAGTTACTGATCTTGATTTTAAAAAACAATATTTGTGGGAAATGGTTCATCTAAATTGAGGCAGTTTCAACGGACGAAAATGTACATCTGTAGTAGGCCAAAGTATATTTTCCTCGATTTGATTACCTTATGATGATCGTCCACGCTTTTGTTATATCGGGTGTACCCTTTGAACACTCAATTGATGTAACCAAAAAGGACTGATTCATATATATTTCTTTTTAATTTAAGAAACATTTAGCCCAGAAACAAACTGGGAATATGACTAACTGAAAGATAGACAAACACTATGACCCTTACTCTTGCTTTGTTTTGTTTCGCATACCAGGAAAAACTTTCCCTCGACATCTTGCATAATTTTCTGTAGATATGCGTCACTGGCTTTGTTTTTAGATTTGAACCTCCTATGTGCTTTGGAAATGTTGTTAACGAACTTGATGAAAACCGTCTGACAAAAGGCGATTGAGTTGGATTGAGCGACATGAGTTTACTCAAGCACTGCTGTTTGTGTCGTAGAAGGACTATGCATAGAATTCTCCAAAGCAACGGTTAGCCATGGACGGACGAACGGACTGAAGAAGCTGGTATACGCAGCGCAATGCTGTAGCAACTTGGTTCTCGCTGTAGAAACATCATTGAGGGATAGATTTCATAAAAACAAACAAAGCCGTTTAAGCGACAACGGTAGGTGTGGTTCCACTTTAATCAAATTCGAATATTTTGGGACACGTGGTATTCTCCTGTGCAGCCACTTTCTCCACGGTGCGCACCCGTCTCAAATTCAAATCAAACCATCCCAGGTTGTAGTAAGTCTTCACGTTCTTGTAGTGGGCTTCCAGACGCCGGACACAGTCTCGGCGACCTTCGTCTGATCCACACCATGTACTGATGTGGCTCTGAATGATATTTGGGAACCAACCAAACTCAAACAACTGAAAGTTGGTGACATTTTCAAATGCTTGGCAATTGGCGGGCAGTGGGCCCACGGATCGTTTTGCAACGCAGTAGCCCTGCAGTAAAGGGTTGGGCTCCTTTGGTTTTCGGTAGTAAGTCTCATGTACGGTGACACGCACCTCTGGTATAGTCTCATTGGGTTTGATGTTGACACCGCGAGGAAGTTCTTTTGAGTTGTAGGCTGAAAGATTTTTGTTGACATCTAAATGCCAGTCATAACGATCATTCTCAAAGTAGAAAGCGTAATTTAAAATCACATTGATTGGGCTAACAAGATTGACTAATTTAGGAAAAGCGTCGTCCAAGCGGGTCACCTGCAATAAACGTGAAAAATTTCTTATGAAATACAAATACTGGCGGTAAATCGAGTGACATGTTCTTGTAGAACGGAGTACAGTGCGTGCTGCCGAGATAACCTTAAGACAATGGGTCGTATGAATAAAAAGTAGCAAATGCTTTGAAATCAAGCAAACAGCAAAAGCATTTACTGAGAAAATTGTAAAATTGTATCAATAAAATGTTTCTTTTTCTATCCAGCAGCTACTGGTATAAAAATTACAAATGCTTTATGCTTGTGGCTGACTGCACAGCCGAATGGTTGTCTGCACGTACACACACACACAGTGCAGCACGGTGCAGTATCTTGAGACCTCAGCATGGCAGTTAAGCACGATGGCAGTAATTTTGATCGCAAAAAACCTTGAAGAAAATTGCTCTGCCACTCTCAACTCGGTACAACTGCCTGCATCCGATTTCTTGAGATTCCCTCCTAAAGGCACAAAGCTCTTCTTTCAGAATAACATTGATGAACGCTGCCATTTTGAACATTAGTAAATGCTCCTCGTTTTCAAGCTTGCCCTGACCCGGTCTTGATAAATGTCAAGTGAATACTCCAATTCTGTAGAACTCATTAATTTTTGTTCATACATGTACAAAATGAAGCAACTGTTTATTGCCAAGCACAAGCTTAAAAGTAAAAAGTAAATATTTCTACTTTTTAGCAACTGCATTAAAGTAAAAGCATTTGCTTCATTATTATTCATACAAACACGAGTAAATGCTTTAAAAATGGTGGTAAAAGCAAATACTACTTTTTATTCATACGACCTCATAATGCGTTCCCTTTAGAAGATCCATTCATAGACCAGCATTAATTTTGGCGCCTTTCCTCAAATTGAAATGATAAGAACGAAAAAGGTAGCGTTTTGCATTTCTAAGCAGGTGTTATCGGGAACAAAACAATCACTGTGTGGTTTCGTGAACAAATCTCTGCCTTACCTTCATGTGCTTCAGCATGTGATTTCTGCAATTCGTTATGGTGTCTCTCCAAATGTAGGTGGGAAAATATGACATGAAATCCGCAACCATGTCCTTGCCGAGTGCAAGTTTTGTGGCTTTATACCAACCGTTACGATGCATTCTTTTCCAGTCAGTAAATGTTACC